AGTGTTTTAAAGATGTAAAAGAGACAGACACAAAGTTAGATGAAAGGTGAGGTGCGTACAGTGGCAGTGGTGGAATATGACATACTGTGGGGTCATGATAGCTTGAAGTTAGAAGTCAACTGCCGATTTATAGACTTTTTTGCCGCATGAGTATACGTTGCCCAGGGTGCACCACGTGGAGGTAAGTCTATTGCACACCCCGTATTTGTGGAATAAATAGTAGCTACAAATAGCAACTAAAAAGTACAATCTGAGATAACAATAAACCCTTTAACCCCCTTAGGACAGTACGGTACTCGTTCAAAATAAGCACCATTGGTACTTGACTCGTACTAGAAGACGCTATTGTAGTTGGAAATATGTTCACTACGTCTGTAGCCTTTCCCTCATACCGACAAGGCTCATCACGTTGGCGGCATTAGTCTGCTGTGAGACACGCGTACAAATATTTGGGCGCATTTCTCAAGAAGGTTAAAGGATGTAAAATTTTTGAAGCTTGTTTGAGTATCGTAGGCGTATTGCTTACTTTGATTTTCGAATCGGGTTGCACACTACTAGCTCAGTAAGCAGTTTAAATTCTAATATTTAATGTCCTGTATCTTACAGTGGACAACATAAAAAATCATTTCTTGAGGTTTAGTACCTATTAATCTGTTGATCAACTTGGATGTTGCATTTTGCTAGTTTGAGATGGTTTGAAAAGCTACTTACTCTCTTTGCAAACATTTTTCAAAAATGAAATATCATAGGGAGCTGTAGCAAAACTAAAAGTCTAATTTCTGCCTCTATTTTGATAGGTTGCTGTTTAGTCGAAACCAAATGAGAAATTTCGAATGACTAAGGATATGATTTGTTAATAATAGGTGGGCACTGAAGTCTGCTCATCGCGATAAGTACTTCATTCGGAGCGTTTAATTATCCTTATTCTTAGTTGAGAAAGATCACACTTTAGGGCTTCCAAATGTCCAATCTTCTCAACTGATTCCAAAATTCATATGAAAAATTTATGTCCTCGATATTAAGATGGCTAGATAAAGTTTCGCGGTTGGTCATGGCACCTCAATTTATTAAAAGTAATGGAATATATTGCATTAGTACTCACTACGATTCACTCAAGATCAATTCATCATCCAATAGAAGACAGTTTCATCCCATTTTACAGTGTAGATATCAAAATAAGATAGTGATATTGATATGTTTCCTAACTTGCAATCAGTTTTGAATATTTGAATACCTTCATACTAGAAACATCTCTGAAACTAACGTTTCAGTATAAATTGTCCCAATTTCTTCATTATTTATAACACGAATTTACAGAAAGATTGAAATCCGATACTGGTATTCACAGAAATGCAATAATATTATTTGATAAAAGTAGAAAAGGACCATTGATGCATAGTAGAAAAGAGAAGAGGGAATTTTACGTCCCAGCAAGTTGCCACCAATAAAGATTATTTCTTCTTCCCATCTCAATTTTCAATTTAACTTTTTATCTTACGCGGGGTCATCGTGTTCTACCAAGCATGGCATTTCAGAGGTCCAGGCGAGTAGAATGTCTATCTGGCCAAATGCTGAATGTCACTCCTCCCCCACCCCCTCCCACCCCCCGCGATTTTATGGAACTTTTCTCTCTCACGTTTTTCCCTTCTTAACTTTTCCGCTAAACTGAGACAAGTGTCTGCTATCCTGCCAACTGGACACTTTTCTTGAATTAATGGTTCCCACCCCCTCTTCATCATTTTCTCTATATTTTTCATTAAATTTAGGACACCTAATGCCGCTTTTCTTTCTGAATTTCTTTACTTGAAGAAGACTAATTCGTTTGAAATAACTCAATAGTTAAAGGCTAGTCGCATACAAGAGTATAGCTAGTTCAAAACACACTTTTTTCTTTTTAAAAAACCTTGATGATTGAATGCTCCTGAAATCAGACTCTCAAAGACCCCAGAGACCTTATTTTTATTACCGAACTTGTGCTAACACCGTTCTTCGTATTCAAATGCTTCCCCATTGTTGGAGATTGTAAAAATAATAGTCCAATTGAATATAACACTTATGAGAGAATTAAAGAGTCACAGAACAGGATGCTCTTTGATGCTCTTTTCAAATATGAAGTCTACGTTTGTTAATAACAATAATAATTCCAAAAGTATGATGATTAAAATTTAATTTAACAGTTTAATGTTCATTCGATTATCTTTACTGTAAGCCAAATTATAAAATTCCATTGATGCAATCTACATTTTGAACAACTTCGTCTTTTAACTTTACCTTTACTGTACTTAGTCGTCAATGACTGTCTTGAAATTTAAAACATCCTATGAATTGAAGTTCCATTTATTTATTAGGAAAGGTTTTATTAAGCATTAACTGTGAACGAGAAGATCAGAACTAAAACAGTTGTTTAATATTACTTCAAATACCGTATCACGTGTATTATGATTTAACAGGTTTTTTAAAGTAAATTCCTAACTATAATCACGGATTCAAATAAAATCGTAAATATATTTATAACCCATAGATTTACTTAGGATAAATTATTCAATAAATCGAAATCTCAGTTGAAATATTTCTTAATATAAATGATCCAACATATTCAATTAAACTACAATTTTATTGGTTAAGGTAGACGCGAGGGCAGCAAAGGTAATTGGTTTATTCGCACAGTCGACAAGACTAGCTACCAATCACACAGCGCCTAGGTAGAAAGCGTCGCTAAGGTGTGAACGGAATTGGTCGTGCGCACTGAGGCGCTCGTAATGACCCCTCCATATCCCATTAATTCCTTGTAGACGCCTTTTACGAAATTGGTGGACAGATAGAAATACCATTGATTTATTACTAATATCACTTTGGGTAGTAATAAAGAACTCAACATTAAGTGGTCTTCAATCTTGTTCCCATATTCCAACTTTGCAGTAATGTGATGCTGATATAAATTCATTCTAAATCACCTAGAAATATTACGATGAATTAAGTGCTCTGAAAAGAGATTTGGCAGTAAATTAACTCTTAATTGACATCTAAATATTTAAAAATCTGGCTGCTTACTCCGAAAATGACAATTGCATCAATAGTTGACAAGCAAACTGAATACGAAGCCTTAAAACATTTAGATTAAGAATCAATTGTCTTTATCACCAGATTTCTAACAACTTTTAGCTTAAAAGGTGAGTTTTTCGTATTAATAAAATGATCATGGAATCCAAAGCAAACCCATTCCATTTTTACCGACACTACCATCGAACAAAAATCAATGAAACGTTGATTTCTTAATAAAGCGCTTCAAATTACAACAAATATCTGAGTTCATAAAAAAATACTTTCTAATTTTATTCCACCAATTTTCTGCTCCCTTCATATCATAAGTAGAGTGGGAAGCGATAAATATCTGAGTTAAATCTAATAAAATTACCAGTTGACATTCAGCCCATCATGAAAACTGAACTTACCATTTTTCAGTAAAGAAGAAAACCTCTATGTGTTCCTTTACTACTGAGGTTGAACGTCAAGACCCCAGACGCAATGAAATAGGCAAGAGTAAAAAGAAGCAGTTTGTTTTATGCATACCATATCATATAAATTCACAAATGTTCGCTTTTCAGTTCGAATATGAGTGCTCATGATCTGTTTTTAGTTGTGTGCTTTGAAAAAATGGCAGAAAATGCGTGTAAATGCTAAAATTGGAGGAACAGAATGGGAGAAATATGCGTGGAGGACGAAAAACAAGTTTGTGTAATAAATTAAGATTAGTTTAGTTCTTTGTACAGTGTGCACAATGACGAGAGTGAGAAAATGTTGTCGTCTCCAAGATTTAATGTTTACCACTTCAGCAGGAGGCATTCAAGGACAGGTCAATTGCAGCACTAGAGGCTGTATTAGGAGTACCAGCTGTTATCGCAACCTCGTTCTGGGAAGGGAAGAGTCGCTCATACATATTATCTCCTATTCTACCTTCAATAAAATTTGACGAACCCTCTAACTTGCGGATACGTTTGGAAGGTGACGGCGTGAGGAAATTATGGGCTGCAGCTGCTGCAATGCCCATATAATTTGAAGCTGAAAGATCTTCAAAGACTGGGGCCTTTCTCTCGCCTGCAGTGCTTCCATTGGAACGACCGAGGCTAGCTAAAAAGACCTCGTTAAATGAGAGGGGTGGGATTCCTTCCACTAGGTGGTGCACAGAATGTGCCAATGATGCATTTGCCAATTGGTGAGGAGAGATTTCGGATGAACCACTAGTGAATCGTCCTCCATCTAACTCAAATCCTGAGCGACCTGGTTGTGAAGGAAATGCGGTGGACACGGAAGTAGACATGTAGGCACCCGTATCAGAAGCTGACGTGAAAGTAAATGGAAGCTGATTACTAATTGACTGATTCGAATGCCTTCCACCACCGGACGTGCCACTCCAACGCAAACCTGGAGCTGAATTCAGATGCATGAATGCCGAAGGTGACTGATTCGTAAATGCCGGTATAGATGTCTGTCGCGGCTTTCCAAGGAAAGAGGAACTACAGGAGGATTGAATCGGGTTAGTGGATGTGAATGTGGATGAAGAATTAGCGGAACATTTAAGTTGATGTCGATTCACAGCGCTAATGCATGTAAACTGCTTTCCACAGATACGGCACTGCATTTCAGATGTGCGCAAATGCAACTGCAGATGGATAATTTTCATATGATATCTCATGCTGCTTTTAATGTCATACATCTTGCCGCAAAATTTACATTTAAACACTTTACGACCATCCACTATCCTCTCGCATTCATCTATCAGTGCATTCAAGCGATCGGAGTGAGTTATCTTCCAGTTCTTAGATGGGCATCCAGTAGACGAAGGGAGTTCAGAGAGGCGTTTTGGGGAGTACTCGAGTTCTGTGAGTCGATTTAGAGCCTGGCTGGGAAGAGGCAGTAAGCCACCAGGACGGCGCTTATCTTTTCTGCCCGATAGCATTGAATTTACCACACTGTTCCTTGATGACTGTGTGTAAGACGATGCGTTACTGGCAGTTAGCGTTGGTGCTGAAGAACATTGGGGATAAGGTGGGTTAGGAAAGAGAGAAAGGTCTTTAGAAGAGTGCAAATTTCCATGTTCGTCCTCTCCAGAATCATCTTTTAATTTTGCTAACCACGAAGAGGACATTGTAGCATCAACGGTGTCCTTTCCGCTGCTTTGTGATCCTGAATCGTAGTGATCAAGTGTTGGTTGACTTGCTGTCAAATCAACTGCTGATATCTCTGACCTAAAGTCACCCTGACCTTTGTTAACCATTCCTTCTTTCTCGTCCGCATTGACTTCCTGCAAATAAAATGAAAGAGGGTATTTCACTCACACGCACTATTGTATTGGAAATTCTACAAAGAATCAATTAAACTGCGCTTCAAGCGATAGCTTCTGCGAACTACACACTTTATTTACTTACTGGTTACTTTGAATTTGGAGTTACTTACTAACACTTTTAAAATGAACTTTAACATAAATTTCCCCTTTTACGATATAGTTGCTTTGTTTTATTTTTACTTTCCTTGGGCCTCGGGAAATGAAGGTAAATTAATTGGGAAAGATGCACAAATTTCGCTTTTAGCTTTTTGTTGAAAAAATGGGGTAAAGTTGGGAGGATTCATTTTGAAAGGATATACTATTTAAATATTTTGTTGGAAGAGCACAATGATTTCTTTCGGGAGGGAAAAGTGCTGATATTTAATGCATAAAAATGGATTTTTCCTGCGTAGAACCGTTTGATGTATTGCATTATCAATTGTAACCTAATCAATTGGCATTTATGTAATCACAAGTCACATCAAATTTGACGTAAAATCTTTATTGTTATTCCAAGTGTTAGGGCGAAATGTCGAGCTTTAGGTTTTAATGAGGCTTTTTAAACTGATAGTTCCTTAATTTTATTCTGGTAGGATTGGGAATAAAGTTAATCAACTTTCCTATTCATGTGGTGGCGAAAAAAACTGCATTTGAGAACTACTATAGCCTAAAGTAAATGAGTGTGCAATTAATAGGGATTGAAGTAAATATAGCAGAATAAAAGTTACAGGTGAGTCAAATTTCTCTCTCTCACAGAAATACAACAAACCTCGTCACGGTTGCGGATATACAACATCCGAAGAGAGGGAGAGAGAGAGAGTGAAGTCCCCATGGGAGAGACAGCACCACCCAGTGTGTCGAGAGAGGAAACACACCAATTAATTATTAACCATCTCCCTTTCCTATCACTTCTCTCTCTCTCTCTCACTCCAGCCTTCCTATCTCAGACAAATGGCTCCGAAAGTTCTGTTTGAATAGAAAAGCTTTTCTGAACAACTCATTATCTTTTTAACGATATTTGGTGCTATAGCTATCCCTTAGTTTCCCTCTGCTTAAATCACTTCCTCTTTCGAAATTTTCTGTTGATTAAGTCATTGAATGCAGATGTGGCTCGATACCAAATTTACCATGCAATAGTTACTTAAAACCTAAGTTGTTTCTTGCAAATACGAATTCCCAGGCCCTCTAACGCTAGAAATCTCACATGTGAATATGTAAGAAAGATGTTTTTATACATAATGGTATTAGAAAGAAAGGAAAAAAGTTCTTCAACCCGAGAGATATCTAAATTAATATTCATTTACTTATTGAGGATATTTTATGCTTACAGCTTGAACTAGGGGGATCATAGCCCTTTCAATATGGAAATCAATTGAAGAAATTAAGATATGCAAGAGATCTACTTCACTTGATTATGATTTCGGTTTCTGCAAAAGATACTTGAGAAGAACTTTTTTGGACATTTAGCTTCCTGAAATTAAGATGCCATTACCCGTCCTCTGGTCTACTAATCACATCCTCATGCAAAATATTCAAGTTATTTGATTACAATGGTAGATTTTGCCGTTTTAATTCAATTTTTCATTGGTTTTTGAGAAAGTAGAATGATCTGAAAAAATGTTAGGTGACTTACATGATCTTGGCGTTATATATATATATATATATATATATATATATATATATATATATTAACTACTAGAATTGAAAAACTTAGATAAGTCAGATTCACTATTTCTCATTTAACATTTTTCTCCTTCTTATGAATTTTATTGTACAAATTCATCAGACGAAATATTACCCTTCATATGCTACATTAATGAGCTTCAGAGCAAAGGGTAAAGCAACAAAGAGGCCTCATTTAGGAGCAAGAAAAGTCGTGGGCAAAACTAATAGTATAATAAGTGGTAAGGTTTTGGAGGTAGATTAGATGATATCGATGGTGGATGATAACATAGGGAGTAATAAAACCCCTTCTCTTTCTAAATACAGGTGTGAATGGAGAACTGTGCCTCTCTCCCCAGAGAACAATCGCCAATGTATCGTTTCATACAACGTGGAACACTTTTGATGGAACCGCACATATGTATAATCAAGTGCGTGATGGTGATAAAGAGAGGCAGAATTGAGGCAGCAAGTATAGGGATACGATATTGGGGAGGGGAGGGGAGGGGGGGGGGG